TAAACCAAATCCTAACCCTAAATCAAACTCTAAACCTAAACCAAATCCTAACCCTAAATCAAATCCTAACCAAACTTTAAACCCTAAATCAAACCCTAATCCTAAACCAAATCCTAAATCAAATTCCAACCAAATTTTAAACCCAATCCTAAATCCTAAACCAAATCCTAAACTCTAAATCAAATCCTAAACAAATTCTAAACCAAACCCCAACCAAATCCTAAATCAAATCCTAAACCAAATCCCAACCAAACCCCAGTAATTCCTACAACAGATTTAAACCTCAATAACTAATGAATAAACTATTGATCTTAACTTGAATTTTGTACACTTTCTAAAAACTAAGTTGAAAATAAGCACAATAAGTTTTAAAAGGATCAAAATTATCAAATAGACGATAACATCAAAAATGTGCTTGGGTATTGGCCAGCCTCCTTCTCCAACCTTAATGTCAATCTTTCAAAGCCAATATCTCTTTTTTTCACCGTTCTATTGAACTCAAAATTTTCATATACATAGAAAAATAAGTCTAATATCTTCTTACATAAGTTTCACTCCAATCCAACAAGTAGATTTCAAGAAATCTTAAAAATCCTCACTAGACCTAAAATTCTACTTTCTGAGATCTTGACTCTCTTAAACCTCAATAATCCTCATTTCAACTATTAGATCAAGCTCAAATTTATAACACATATTGAATACAACTATTACCATTAATCCACAAAATTTCAACTATAGATCTATTACAAAACTCTTGAAATCATCCAAAATGTAAATCCTATTTTATTTCATAATATCCAAGTCATCCAAAACAAACCTTGACTTTGTAAAGTTCTTACAAAGTTAATACAGATCCAAATCACCCAAAACTAATGCTCATAGAAACTTTATCTAGTCTGCCATCAAATTCCACTATTCGATTTGCAAAAGAACCTTGGAGTCATCGTCGAGACTCAGTTTGTGCCTCAAGATCTGATTTCGATCTTGGTTCATAACCGGCCCTCTCCGGGTATCAATATCTAGTTTTTCTAAGTAAATTTTGCTAGAATTTACTCTTAACTTCCTTCTAAAGATGCCTATATCATTTATTTTTCCAATCTACTTTGTTTTGCCTTACTTATGGTCCTACAAAGCAAATAGAAGTCACCTTTCTAAAATGCAGCATTGGTACCTTTTTGTTTTACTACCCTTTTGACTATTAACTATATTTCTAAGATAATTTGTTCTAATACTTTGAACTAAGATCTTTTACATTACAATAATTTCCACACTCTTTCACCTAGTAGTCATGTTACATCACGACACCGTTACCCATCACAAAACAACCATGGTCTTCTGTTTCTATGGATTTCATCACAAATCTTCCAATCTCAGGTTCCTATGACTCCATATCTCTGATAGTAAATCATTTTACCAAGATGTCACATTTTGTACTATGTACAAAATCTATCACAGGTGGAGAAATAGCTAAACTCTTTCTTGACAATATCTATCACTATCATGGATTATCCAAGGACATTATATAAGATAAGAGAACTCAATTTGTATCAAGATTTTGGCAAACTCTTTTCAAGATTCTAAAAGTGGATATAAAACTATCTTTAACATTCTATCTTCAAAGTATTGGACAAATGGAGCATATTAATCAAGTTTTGGAGCAGTATTTAAGATATATCATTAATTACCAACAAGATGATTGGACAACTCTTTTACCATTGGCAGAATTTGCTTACAATAACACGGTACATTCTTCTATAAAATAAACACCTTTCTTTGCCGATTGTAGTTATCATCCATGACTTAATACTTTTGACTTTTCAAAAGCTGATAATCGTGCAGCAAAATATTTGGAAAATCATTTGTCAAAGCTATATGCAACAATGAAGGTCTAGTTAAAAGAAACTCAAGAATAACAAAAGATCAATGGGGAATGTCTATGGAAAGGAACAATCACCATTCCACATAGGTGACAAGGTATGGTTACTTTGTCACGATATCAAGACCACTTGTCCTTGTGATAAATTGAACTATCAAAGGCTCGGACCATTTTCTATTTCTATACAAATCAATCCATTTGCATATCGTTTATACCTATCAGAGTCAATGAAAATCCATCCAATATTCCATGTGTCTCTTCTTGAACCATACAAGACAGTGGACATACCAAGAAGAAGATAAGCTCCACCTCTTCTTATAAAAGTGGATAATAATAAAGAGTTCGAAGTAGAAGAAGTCCTAGATTCAAGGTAGCATCAAAATAAATTAGAATATCTTATCCATTGGTGCGGATATGATATTAATGAACGCACATGAGAGCTAGTAAAGAATCTTGCAAATACAAAAAAGATGATGGAGGCTTTTCATTGATGACATCTATCAAAATTAAGATGAAAATCTTCCTTATGAAAGAAACAAGTTCTAAGCAAGATAACATTTACTTTAAATCCTTGTTTGTAACTTCTTTATAGTTGTGGCACTAAAGAGATGGAGAATCAATAATCAACGAATTTGACTCAAGAACCTTTGTTTGCTGACTTGTCAAACGAGACATTATAATTGTCACAACCTTCAAGACAATACAATTGAGATGAAGATCCTCAAAAATGACATGTTCTTCATCAAATAGATGGCAAGATACAACGTGTTTGGTATCACGACCTTTGAAGGGACTCCTAATGTTTAGTGATTTTACTAGAGATAAGAACAACTCCTAATGGTATTTCAAATATTTTATTTAAAAAAAGTTATGAAGGCCTCAACAATAATCAAATAACTAGGTGGTCTTTCCACCCTGATATGGGACACTATCGATAGTTGAGAGGCCTTATCAATCATCTTCAAAGAGAACTAAGATCAGAGTATGTGGCAAATACAATTTGCCGCATCTTAGACTTCTTTGACATGTGATCACCACTCTTTGTGGAACTCATCCCTAGAAAGAGGGATAATGTCACAGACATATATTTACTATAATTATTACCTAGGTGATATGAATAGGTAGAGGTTAGTAAAAGTAGATTAATTTCATAATATCTTCTAGAAAATCTTCCTAAAAGCTCCATAGATGTTGCTTTGACTTTATATGTGTTTATACTTGATTGGTAGATTAAAAACTTAGTCAACAAGTTAACTATGTGCCATACATGTTGGTAGCTTGTGGAATAAGCTAACTATATGGCACCCACATAAAAACTTGCATTGCAAGTTAAGATATATGTTTTGCAAAGTCAACAAATTTTTGGAGCTCCTATAGGATGTCGCCACATAGTTCATAAGTAGATAGTATATATAGAGGCAAGAATGAAGCCTTCTTCACTCTTGTCAACTCCTTTCTTGCTTCTAGTGTAGTTTCAAGGGTCTCTAGTTTTCTTGTCTTTTGGCAATAGCCATTCCAGTTTCTTTTTTAATATACATATTTAGTTATTTCTATTTTGTCATCTTTTTTTGAGAAAAGTCTCACTTGTTTATTTATTTTTTATCAAGTTCTTGTTCTTGACATCTAATATGTGAAGGGCCAGCAAGAAGTACAATAAGATCATGAGTCACATACGGAGCAAGAGTAGCAACAAGTTTGAAGAGTCAAGATTAGAGCAAAAAAAATAAAAAATAAAAAAAATTGCGATAGTGAGTAGAAGAGAGTCATGCTAATAATGTGTTGAAAATGCTTAGAAAAACTTAAGAGTTGTAGTAAGTAATACACACACACATAAGAGAATTTCTAAGGAGAGAGAGAGAGAGAGAGAGAGAGAGAGAGAGAGAGAGAGAGAGCTTCATACAAAAGTCTATTGATCTGGTTGTATCTCATATATAAGAGGAGAAGGCGAGAGGATAAACAGTTCCTCTCTACTACATTCCAAATACTATAGCTATAGTATTTACTGTAGGCTACAATAAATATTATAGAGAGCGCTAGCTACATTTAATGCTCTCAATAGTTTACTCTTTGTTAAATTTGAAGAAAATCCATGTGCTACCCACTACTAGGAATAAAGTAATAAGAACTACAATATCTTACATATTTAACATAGATATTATAATACAAACTTATAAATTCAATAATCAATTATATAAATTTAAATAATTTATTTGTTTGCATATCCTAACAACAAAGGTTAAGTTACTAAACCAAATTATTATTATTAATAATTAATTATTTTTTATAACTTATTATTCTAATATACATTCAGAAATATGTAATAGAACTTTTTAAATATCTAAAAAATATATTAAATTAATTTTTAATTAAAAATTTAAAATAATTTAAATTTAAATTTAATAACCCAAATTATATTTGTTTTTAAATATTATTCTTGGTATAATTTTTTTAGCTTTTAGATTGTACTTCAATCTTTTCAATAAGATGTAGCATCGATGTTTCAAGTCCAATCAATAATTTTAGAATGCCAAAATGTATAATATTCATGCAAATATTTTTTTTGATGACTCTAATATCTGAGGTTCAATTCGCAGGTAGGCATTTTTAATGCCAAGCAATGTCATGGATTGGTAAGATACTACAACTATGAGCTAATTTTTATACAATGAAATTATCACAAGTAAATCAACTAGGAAAATAGTGCCAAATATTTATTAATAATCACAATAATGATAATAATGAAATAAAAATTCATGCATATGGGTTTTTTTAATTTTTTTTGTTATGTATTATTACACATAAAATTCTATAAAAAATAAATTTTGGGTAGATTTCAGTTAAAGGAAACCACAAAACTTCATTAACTTGCATTCAGAGTGAATGCTTATTAGTTTGTGGTTCATGGTGAATTGGGGGGGGGGGGGGGGGACGGATGGTCATAGGACACCATCTGATGGAAGATCTTCCACGGTACAATCGTGCTGTACCTATCACCGGTCATAATGGATGAATGTTCATAAGATGATATCCTGAATCTACGTATACTCACTGGTCATAATGGATGAATGTTCATATGATGATATCCTGAATCTACGTATACATATGGACAGAAAGCCACCGTGTTCTTGTGCCTTCAGCCAACGCATCACGTCCTATGAGCTATGCCGATCGAGTCTTGTGCCAAGAGCTCATGCTTCAATCTGATTTTGTCAATCCCAATCTCCGTTGCAATTCGTTAGCTGCTGTGGAATTCTCTGCTACCACAGCTGCATATGTTGCGAGTTTACAGTTGAGGCCGCAATTTCCGAAAGTCTGTTTCTGTGGCAAGGCGTAGGAAGAAGACTGTACCCATTTTTCTAAAGAGGTCAGTGGGAATCGCCCGTGCGCTTTTGAATCTTGGTTCGGAGGTTATGTTCGATTGGGTCGCACATTTGAGGTTTTCGTGCCAATGCAGTGTGTCAAATGCTAAGAAAAGGATAACGATGGGAGAATTTGTCCTCTTGTTCCACATTAACAATAGGAGGGTGGAATTCTGATGAAAGTGTAGGAAAGGTTTCGCAGAGCTGGGGTGTTAGTTGTTGAGCTTGTGGAAAGGTTCTGTGGGTGTGAACCTCCCCTCTTTGTGTTTACTCTTTCGTGGAGCTGCTGAATTGGTGGGGGGGGGGGGGGGGGAGGGACTTAGGAAGTGGGCATTTGACGAGGCTGTCGAGGTCGTGCATTCGTTTTGTGCTCGTCGTGTGCTTGTTTAGTCGAATGCTCTTTCGATTTAAGTTCCTTCCAGTAGTAGAAATCTCTTGTGCCACCGGGGTTTTGTACGTCTGGGTAGAAATTGCCAGAGTTAGATTGGTGCGGGTTGGGTGGATTGAAGCTTGGAATTGAGGTGGTTGAACATTCTGTGCAGATGTGGATGTCATTTCAGTAGCTTGGGAAGGATTGAGGAGTGGAAGGGACGAAAGCTGGTACAATGTGCGTAAGAGTCTTCGCCAATATTTCGGCTGCTCGTGGGTGGCATTTGCCCCTTCTTTCCAGTTCCTTCTGGGGCGGGCAGGCTTCAGACTCCGCTCGTGTGGCTCTGAAATTAGGTCATTCCTTTTCTATCTCTGCAACCTACTGCTTTGAATGCCTTTCACGACCAGTCTTTTGTTTTTTCTTTTCCCTGTGATCGGATATTTCGAGAGCTTATTTTACCGGTGCCATCTATGTTGATACCAATATGCAATGTTTTTGGATGACGATGTAAAAATGAATAATCTCTTAGAAGCCTAATGTGAGTGAATTCGTTCATTACAGGTAATTGTGTAGCTGCAAGATGGAAGAGTTCGTTAATCCGTCCACATGTCACTATTGTAGCTACCGCAACAAGAAGCCAGGAGTCCAACCCCTCCGTAAGTTTTTTACTTCTTGTACACATTTCAGTCAAGAGTCTCTTTTATACACTGTTTCAACTATAAGTTGGGACGTGTATAAGATCTAAGGATTCACAATTCGTATAATTGTAGCCTTGGCCTCTTTTAAACTGGATTTTGATGGGCAAATAGAATTTGCCTCTGGTTCTGGGCGTTAGTCTTGTTTTATTTTGGAAGATAGAAAGCAGTCACTTCAATACAGAGTCCACAGTTTCATCAGTTTGAAACTCTGGTTATCTTTTACCCTTCATACGACCTATTGTCGCCTTGAAAGTTGTACGTGTAGGAGTAGTCAAGATTCTCTCTTTGAGGGTCTCAAGCTCAGTTTTTGTGGTATTTTGGATTTCACCCTTATCCTTATCCTCACTCCTCAGCCATTACTGAGTAACCTTTCATATATGAATCACTACAATACCTATGGTAATGTGAAGGGGAGCAAGACTGACATCACCTGGTTAATTTTTTAGAAAACCCATTGGATGGCTTCTATTTCGTGGCTTCCACATCTTTTGACAACTGCACGGCCTTCACTAGATTCTGGGTATAACCTTGGCGAGCATTGCATATCATCATGTTCAGACAAGTAAAAGAATAAAATTTGTTGCAATGCAGCAGGCGATTTTCTTTTCAGATGCTGGACTTAACAGAGCAGCCGAGATGAGAGTTGATAAAACCAAGCTGTCTGAAGCATTTGACAGCCCAGAAGCTCTGGTACGAGCGTCTTACTTAGATCTGTGTGACAGATTTTTTTCCAATAGATAGGGAATCTGTTTAACATCACAGCGACTTGAATCGACCTTAAATTGTGAGCTGTATAATAGACGAAATACATTTGCTCTCCTTAAGCTGTGCATGTGGTTATGCGGGTGGTATAATTCTAAGCTTTCAACATGCTTGTATGACTCTAATTTGTTTTGATGATTTGGTCTGGTTAACAGGTGGTCCCGTTGGTGGATGCGAAAAACTTAGTGAAGGGAGGGAAGTCTGTTCTAGTGGAAGCCTCTGCATTGCGGTTGACTAATGCAGATCATGAAAGTGCTGGCTTTCCGGTATTTCTTGGACTATCTAACTCCACCAAAGCTCCGGTATTTGCTGTGAACTTGGAGAAAGTGCCCAGGTACTTAGTATTGTGACGTGTTTTGATTAAGAGTTCTAATTTTTAGTAGTGTCAAGACATGATTGTGTGAATCCCAAGACACTAGTAAGAAATGTTTATGAGACCCGTGGAAGTAAACGGAAGCCAACTGTAGCAGTGCAGGTGAAGAAAGGCCAGCATGGGAAGATGGTGGTGAGTGGATTGATTTGCGCCGGTATGGTTCCCAGCTTCAACCATCAGATGCAGGCCTCCTTGCGTACGCTCGTGGGATGTTGGAATGGCAAACCCGCAATGCATGTTCCTGCTCTCCTCTCCTGACCTTACAATGATTCTACTTTCTCTGTTGCGAATCTAAGTAAAGTAGTTAGTTAGTAGTCAAATCAGGTTTGCGTTAGTAATGTACGTCAAAAGTTTAAACTATCTCCTGAACGGTCCCTCTTTAGAATGAGCTTGAAAATGCTGGGATAGGATGAAGATATCTTGAAACCTTGATATTAGTATTTTGATGTTGGCTAAAGCTTTCATCGTTCGTGCTGTTCTCTTGAATTATGCAGAGGCATTGTGGGCGTTGTGGGGGCCGAATGATTGCTAAAGATGGTGGTCACTCATTGCACTGTTCTTTAGATTCCTGTAAACATTCTGCTTATCCGAGACTGGTACATTTCTCCGTTCTTCAGACTGGTATATACTAAGATCGTTACGTTAGATCTTTTCACTTATTTATTGCGTGAATCATATTGTCACTCTAACACTCACTACGCTTAGAGTGATAGTTTGTGAGGGCAGCTGGTTGTTTTTGGGAGTAATAATGACCGGTCGCTGCCATGATCTTTCTGCACTCTTGCCTTCAGTACACGTATCCTTATTACTTGTACAGCCTTTAGTATATATGATATTTGTTATATTATTGTTTCATCGGAGGACGTGCAAGAATGTTTTGTCGTGGGAATTGTTCTCTAAAAGTATCGTCTTTAATTAAACTTTTTATTCTGCTTGCAGGACCCAGCTGTTATCATGCTGGTAGCATGTGGCAATTATGTGCTGCTAGGGCGACAGGTGAGAGTTTTGTGTGATCTACTTCTTTGAGTTGATTCATTTGGTTTAGGTTATGTGAATTTTTCTATTTTCAAACCAAGGTTCAGTAAGAAGATTCCTGATGTTTGTCCAGTATTTTCAAACAATTTTTGTGATCATGTTAGCTGGACAAGTGTAGTATGACATTCCAATAACATAATACAAAAACGCACCGAAGAAAATTGAAAATCGTTTTTTTCACACGCTTGCAGAGTAGATGGAACCCTGGTCGATACTCGTTGTTGGCAGGGTTTGTGGAGATAGGGGAAACTTTTGAAATGAGTGTTGCTAGGGAGGTGAAAGAGGAATCTGGAATAGAAATCGACCAAACTAGTGTGAGGTGCTTCTTGTTTCTCTACTTTTGCCTTTCCCGTCTCTTTATTAATTAGAAGCCATGTTTGTTGTCTCCATCTCAGTATTCTTTGTTTTGTTTGTCTACTTGTTGTATACACATGGACTTTAGACATTTGTGCTACTTTTGTTCATAGAGAATGTTCAAGCTCGTTATGAAAAAACTAACTTGTTCACACAAGTCATTTCTGCTTTATTTAGAAGTCTGTTCTAACATCTGCTGTTGATAATGACCAGCTACATAGCCAGCCAACCATGGCCCTTTCCGTCATCGCTTATGGTGGGTTTCAGCGCCTCTGCTAAGAAAAATAAATGTGACCCTTATAGTCCTGAATCGGAGGACAATAATGCCGTAGCTGTCAGTCCTGATAAACTCATCGTTGTCGATGAATTGCGTGCACTTCCTCAAACTTCTGCTGACGAGCTTGAGCTCGAGGTATTTAAACTAAAGTTGAGACTTCAAAATCTTTGTCACTCTGGTTGTTGATTGGAAACTGGTGCTATATAACCTACAGTCTAGAATCACTTTTTTGCTGGTTGTGAAAATGATAATCTTGTCATTTTAGAATTTTAGGCTCTAAGGATGTGATGATGGTCTTTCTAGTATGTTGGATATGTTCTAAATTAAGCTGTAGGATGCAAGGTGGGTTCATAAGGATTTATTGAGATGGGTTCTCAAGGGAAATCCATTACCACACAGCGTCGAATTTAGCATTCCGGGGAGCTATGCGATTGCCAACATCATTCTGAGCCGGTGGACAGAGTCTAAACGTGAGGACTCCATGTGGGCCGGAGACGACGTCATATCTGCTGATATTGATGAAGGTGGGGCTCGTTATCAAACACTTTGTTTTAAACTTATTGTTTCGAGGTCTTCATTTCTTCTCCTGTTTCATGTTTCTTGTAGTGCATTTTAAGTCCATCCACACATCCATATGGATTTAAAATCCATGATATTGAGCGCCTTGAAGTAACAGGTTTGTTGCGGTCGTTTCAGGAGTTTTCGAGTATGTACTTATGTGCCTTAGTGATGACAAGGGCCGTGAAAAATTGGTAAGACGCGGAAATATCTAAAAAAGATTCAGCATATGTTTCTTTGCTCACTGGAGACGAAACCGTTTCTTTTACCGAATGTATATTCTTTACTCGGCTCTGTTTACTTGTATTTGAGCTGTAGGTTATTAGATCATCAACTTTATATAACTGAAATGGGTTGCTTGGATTAAACAGATTGTTAGAGGCAATTCGAAGCTTGCATACCATTCAGACATTTTAACAGCAGCCCAGGAGGAAGTCAAGGATATGGGTCTTCAGGTGGGTTGCTATTAAAGTACTTGTATTTATGTGATGTGATTACTTTCTGCATCTGAGTTAGGCATCAACGCACAATTGACTAATTAGCAATGGGACTGCACATGGCAGGTATCCCAACTAGGTGGAGGACGGATTGACCATAATGTGAAGGAGCGCAAACTTCACGTTTACAGTTCCTCGCAAGCATTTGGTCTGGCAAATCATTCCGTCACTTGTGCGATCCTCAGGCAATGGTATCCATTTCATAGCATTACTCTAGCATGGGGATAGTAGAATCGGCTAGTCATGAGTTAGGGATGACGTTGATTCATGGGTCAGTCATGAGTTAAGGCTGACGTTGATTCATGGACTAACATGAAAGTAATACCTGGAAAATATCATTAATTTTGAAGAGGAGATTTTGAACCTATATTGTTTGATGATGTGGATTCTGTGAGGCATGTGGGACGATAAATGCACGCCATTTCATCTCCAAGTTAAATATTTATTCTAATTTCAATAGAAAGCTTTTTGCACTCACAAGTCTCTCTGCTTCTATACCACAAAAGCACTTGCACCTCAACACCAGAGTTGCATGCAGAAGCACTGTGTTTTACTACGAGAGGGTTCTCTATCTTACCTCAGACAAGAAGATGATACACCACATCAGCACACTATGATTTTTCTGATTCTACATAGCTGGAAACGGCATTCTTGAGGGACTGCAGCACACACGGAGTGCGAGAATTCTAATTCGAGTACCCACAACTTATTTAGCTCAGTTCGTGACAACAAATCCTACGAATACACTATTGCAATAGTTCAGAAGCCGTGCCAGAAGCCTTCGCAAGTTTTCATCCCATCATGTAGTGACCTCAATCGCAATAATTGTGTTCTCTTTTTACTTTTCTGTAAGAATATCTGCAGGCTCCATAACCAATATAGTAGAAATTACTCATTGAAATCTGCAACAATGAAATATATACTTCAAAATTTCATCTACAAAATCCAGAACGAGGTTTTACAAGAGAGACTAGGAAGATGCCGTTCGGAATATGCGTATGAACCCGAAGGACATTCCTGTCACTTGCGAAAAGATTCGCAGTTTCACGCTTCCCTCGCGCGTGCACCACATGTAGAGTCAGTTGATCGTCAGTCGTAGCTCCAGGCGGCGCTCTTGAGTCCATGCAATCATCATCTGTCTCCAGTTATTCGCCCGGATCCTGCGAGGATCTCTATGGGTGTGTAGAAAGTTCAATCGGGCCGCCGGCAGCACTAGAATGATTTCAGATTCATGCACTCCGTACTTTATTTAAGGGAATTTCAAGAGGTGAGAGTTGTGGATTTAGAGAGGATAGTAACCAATGCAGCAGCGGATCGTCTTCAGATGCACAGGTTGAGTTCAGCCTCCCTCAAGTCGCAGTTTGTAGCAATTTGGCCTGTAGAATATTGATGATGCTGAGATAGGAGAAGAGCATACTGTGGTGTAGAATCGAGTGACTCTTGGATAGTTTTCGTTCGAAAGCTCATAGACGTGGAACTCAATTGTAGTGAGACAATTTCGAAGAACTGACATGCGACGAGGGGAAGGCAAATGAAGCAATCGAAGCGTAACGAGCAGTTCGGAAGTATGTAGACAAGTAGCCTACGATTCGTACACAACCTCTTACGTAGTTGTGTGACTGTAGTACCTTGCCATGACTATGACGGCGGGGCAGTTCTTCTTGTGCTTTCTCATTATCATAATCCTACGGGAAAGCTTGACAAGCTCGGCTGCAACGTCTTTACCGCCGCCGCCCCCCATGACGCTGAGGGACACTTCGACAATCTCTGAAGCTCCTTCAGAAACCCCTGTACAGATGCTGGACATTCTCACGCGTCTCGATTTCAGTGACGGCTGCGTTCTTTCACGCTCCGTCTCCGACAAGTGGAAAATTGATAACGATTCCCTGGCATCTCCTGCAGGTATTCGCCGTTTTCTTTGTTCCTCCGTTTTCTCATATGCTTTTGTTTCGAGTATCGTGCCAACTAACGTCAACTATGAATGATCCTTGAAGGGGATCTCGGAATGATTCGTAAAGTGAAATTCATAGCGAATATGTGTGCTGCATGTGGTTTTTGTATGCGACGTTCTTCGAATCTGAACTGCATGTAGCCCATGGCTGTAAGTTGGCTACTGAGGTGTTATTACACATCGAACCATCTTAAGTAGACTTTTACCACAATAAGAATTCTGGAGTACCAGTTTCATGGTTTTTGGGAAAATTTTCAACACGGTGAGCAATGGCAACTACGTGATGGCAGATAATAACCCATTTTTTGGTTCTTTCAGTTGGGAAACAGGTGCACATGTACTAAACACGAGCCCAGAATAGCGAAATAGCTAAATGGCATTTGCTGCGGCTGCGAATTTGACAGCGTTTTCGTTACTCATGTTGATGGTCAACATCATGTACATTAGCAATATTCATGACTTCTGGAGAATTGCTCTACCCAGATCAATTCCATTGAAAATGTCGCAAGTGATGTCCCAACGGTAAATATGACCATACTTAACTAGAAAATAAAGAGGCTACCTTTCAAGAGCACAGTCGTTTTCTCACGAGCATCTACGCTGACATTTCCCTCATGGAGAAAAATAAATCTGTACATGAATTTTTACACTTCATTGAATGGCTATAGATTCCTGTTCGCATAATCAATGTGCGATTACATTTCTGCCATCTTGAAGATGTACATCATACTGTTCTTTATAAAAATGTGTAGGAATGCCGCAACAACCGAGCCCGTTGTCCATACCTTCGTTGTTTAAAGGCTGCTGGCCAACCTCATAGCGTGCTTCCGGTGGGAGTGACTTCTGTGACACTCCTCCTAATCTCATGGAGAAGTTCAACACTCCTTGTTCCCGTCCAGAGGGTCTTCGTACCTGCGGTTCACAACATACAATTGTCAGCACAAATTGATGTCACAATGTATGATTTAGCACAATCACAGTCCTAATTTCCTCTGCACATCCAAAACATTCAAGTTAATCTAGAGTTCAAGTTAATGAAGACCCATTAACATATATATATGAAATAGAAGTTAATGAAGACCCATTAACATATATATTAACTTAAGTTTCAAATATATATGAAATAGAAGCATCAAAGATCTTCCACTTTCAATGAGTGGTATGCCTTTGAGCTCTTACAACAATATTTGTAGTACAAGGTAATTCAAATTTATAGAAAATGGAGTGAAGAATACAAACTTGAATTTGATAAAGTGGAGCGTTATTGAAAGGCATATATAGAATTTAATTCAGCTCTTATGGAGGGTGTTATTTCAAGCTATATTGCTACAATGAAAGAAGAAGATTCAATCCAAAGAGAAATTGGTACATCTTTAGAAGATATCAAAAGAAAAAGAATAATTACTTCTTTTATTAGCACTTAATAACTTTGTCTAGCATGGCTCAAGAAATGAAGGCAACTTTATTTACATTGAGAGAGCCAACATCATTTGAACCTCTTCAAATATTTATTAAGCATTTCAAGCACAAATATGGAGGTTTTAAGCATGATCAAATATAATGTATTTAAAAATTGTTGTAAAAAGACATAGACGCGTTAACATAGACGCCAGGATCTAATAATGGATTTAGAGTCGATAAGGAACATCATACTTACCGGCAAGTTTAAGAACACTGGGTCGCTATGTTCCTTGTGGTTCATAAAAATATTTCCAGGCAGGTCGGACAAAGGGAATGAAACGGAACCGATAAGCCTGTTCGAGCTGCCACCAGCGTCGTGGAGCTCCAGATTGACAACTGCATCATGAGGACGGTCCAGTAAAGCCTCGTCACAAAAAACAACTATATCCGCATTCCATTTGGGATTCGGGCCACCTTTGACGTCGGCGGGGCTGTACGCCTTCAAATCGGGATGAATCCAGGCCACCACATACGGGCTCATTTTCCCTCCTAAGATTCGCACATTTCGCAAATCTTGAGCTGAGAAAATGTTGAACTCAATTTCACGGTAAACCGCAGACATGACTGAACTCTCCCTGAGAGCGACCCTCCGAACAGAAGAACGACCACCTAACTACTCAATTCTCCTCCTCCTACTCCTCCTCCTACTCTTCCTCCTCCTCACCACCACTGCAACGGCCGAGCGCTGTATGCAACGACGCAAACAGAGAAACAGAGAATGATGTGCGCTCAAAGCGATAAGCACGAATTCAAATATCTGGAGGCGGCTCCCTCAAGAGCCTTGATTCCGGAGGAACAACACGCAGGTTCACCAACCGCTTTCTTGCTTGCCGCACAAGCGTGACGAAACGTAAGAGGAAGACCACCAGCGACTGCATTAGCACATTGTCAAGGTGTTCTTAAAGCAAGCCACCTCGAGGCCGCATACGACGAAACCTGGGGAAATTGCGAGAGACGACGACAACAGCAATATCGCCATGCTTCTTACGCGACTTCCACTCTGACGGATTGACTCTCCCGCACTTGGTGCTCGCCGAGGGCGGGTCGAAGCACCATGACCGAATGGTAGACTCCTGCGATGATGTGGCTGCTGGCCGCGCTGATGCACGTCACTCCTGCTCTCCTCCCTGGTCTTTGAGTAGGGTGTCTGTAGGTGGGGGCGGGACTTGCGTGGCCTGTGGCGGAATCCAGCTGGACACGTCCCACCCCTCCTTCCGGGGCTTTTTGGGATGATTACTCATCACCAACCCACCCCGCTGAATGAATGTATACGTTATATTCATCCATCCGTCGACATCGCCGCCAGTGTGGCACCGGCGCGAATATTTCCTCCGCCGTAGTTCTCCACAACTTTCCACGCGGGCTTAGGGCGTAACGAATGAGCCGCATTGCCATGTTGGCCGCGTGGCGTAGTCAAGGAGAAGCATGCTCGACCATATGTTATTCCTACTTTTCTTTTACTCTAATTTTCTTTTTTCCTTTTCTTTTCTTTTCTTTTCTTTTCCCCTATTGCATACTGTTGCGACTCAATGATGTCATTGTTATGAGTAAAAGAAATATTATTCTAAAAAGTTTATCATGACTTTTGGTGGTTGATACATTTCTTTTCTTTTCTTTTCTTTTCTTTTCCCCTCTTACAAAAAAGTTACATTTGAAACTTTTTACAAAAAAGCTACTTTTGGGCTCTTTTAATATTTCAACTTATATATACACATACTTACTGTGCAGTATTACTGTATATGATAAACTACAACAGGAATTGTACTGATGTTTTCAACTGCTTCAAATAGAAAATTATTAAAGAAAAGCATTCTTTCATTACTATAATAGATTACAACTAATCATCTTATAACTTTATCACAAATGCGTTAACTATTTTTATTTATTGATATATTAAATTTTTTTTTGTAAATATTTTATTTACTCATCAATTTTTGTTGCGTTTTTTCTAGTCAAGTATGATTTTAATAAGAAAGATTCATGTGCATGCTATAAGTTTCAATCAATAAGATAAAATTTTAGTTTATTTTAATTCCTACAAGTGAATCTTAAATAATAAATTGTGAAAACATCACACCAGATGTAATCTTAAAATGGTTATTTCTCACAAAGTAAAACTCTCAGTTTTGATAAATATCAAAATGTAAATTTTAGTTGCTTTAAATAGGTAATACATTTTATTTTATTTTACTAGGATTTATTAATATATTAAGCAATAAACTCCGCTTTTGCAAAATTACTCCCAAACCCACGTATGAAAGATGAACATTACAACTAGATTCTCATCTACATTTAAGAAAAAGGTTTTGTCCTTGTTGATTGCTTCTTGAGCCTCAAGAAACAATAAACAAGAATAAGGACCTTTGTTGGATATTTAATTGGAAGATTCCAAAGAGTAAACACTATGAATTGCATGATCAGACCAAGACCTTACATGGTCAAGATTCCAAGTTTCAGTCCAAATATCAACATATAATTGAGTTTATTATATACGATATATATTATTTTACTATACATATCTTCATTTGCACTCATCATACTCATCACGCTTAAATTACACTTAAATTTATCACCCTCAGTTGTAGAATAAAAACCTTGAACTTTGATTTTTAAACCAGCCAAAGTTATCTTATTTATTGATAACCTAGTCTCTATTTTTCTCAATTGCCTCTTAGTTTTCAAATTTGTTTCTTGATCATATTATGTATTTAAATAGAAAAAGATAAGTCGACCAAGTTAATTTGTATGGAAACATCGTTTTGTTTATTTTTGAGAATAATAATAAATAAATTATTATTTCTTTGAGTCATTTTTCACGATTATGCCTCAATATGAAACAATACAAACATTTGCAATTTCAAATGAAAAGAAAACAAAGTTGTCTAAGGTTGACTCACTCAATTGCTTGCATAAAAAAGATTAAGTATGGGCATCTTTGCTATTTATGAGATATTTACTCTTGGTTGGATAAAACAGTTAGTTTTTGTTATGCTATAATCATCCCTGTCATAAACCTCGCGTTTTGAGGACAGTCTCTAAGTGCTTCAAAGTGATGTGCTGGCTGACCATATATACATGTGAAAGTGTGGAAAGTACATTTAGCACTTGGATTAAGAACCAGCTCGTGAACAAGGTTGGGTAGATCCTTGCTTAATACACTGCACATAAACACAAACATGCTCATGATCAGTAAACTCCTCATAGAAATCTATATACCAAGCCAAAATAGACATCAAAGTCACTCACAATAATCCAGGGGTATATGAAAAGCAGATTCTGCAACAAATCAGATGCAACAAACAAGACTAGTAAGTAAGATATATAACTAAGTGACATTCCTCAATATTTTTATTTTCTGCTTCTGATAAAAAGCGGCTTAATCGAAGTCAGGAAAACATCAATAACTGAACGCCATCAAGTTATATACCTCTAAGAGATAGCTGTGCATCCAATCAAGTGTTTGTGGGAAAGTTGTGGCAGATAAGTTCACAACAGTCAGTCCCTGATGTAGCCCGGAAGCACAAACCTTACATTAGCAGGTGTGAATAACAATCAGACGGACCTAAGTAGCAAATGGTGAGACCTTTGTCTGCAAGATTCAGGAATGAGACAACGGTTTATTGTTCACAACTATCGAATCGAATATTGTTCCATAGGAAAATGGAAGGCTATTGCAATTGATACCTGTGATTCAAACGATGTTAGATAGTCCTCAATGGTTTGAAGCCTTTTAATCAGAGCCTCTTTGTCCTGCAAGAAACCCATGGAATCAGGAGAGTAAAGAATCTATCACCCAGTTTCCCAGGAGAACATCATTTTTAGTAAAATCTGTTCACAAACTGAATTCCTACGAGGTAAATCGACAGAACAGATTCAGGTGTAAATGCCAATAATTCACTACATAATAGAACATACGAATGACTTTGAAGAGTGGAACTAAAAACAACTACCTCTTTTGAAACACTGGTTTCGGTATCTGCTGCACGTGCAGAAATCCATTCCTCCAGCAAGGTCTGCATAATCAAAAAGACCAAGTACGGCAACGCTTCAAGACCAGGTTTGCTTTTAGAAAGACATTAGGTTTTGAAACGAAACCAGTACTAAATTGGCATAAGGTGTAAGTTCGAACGAAATAAAAAAACTGTTAAATTGCATATAGAAGCTACTTCCACTGAAACCATGAAATCTCTTACTGTTGGAAGGGTTAAATCTCAATCTAGTTGCCATGTCAAATACCCGGTGATCTACATCAGCCATTTTAAGCACGATGGGAACAAAAATGCACTTAGGTGGCGTCCACTTGATTGGTTCTTTTGATATTTCTTTATTCATCACAGCGTCACTGGTTGCTCCTGCATATTCACCAAACATACGACAGACATTTTGTTACTGTCAACACTATTGCTGTGCATCAGACTTGATATACCACAAATACTAGAAGAAAATGACGAATATTCAACAATGGCATCTAGAATATGAGTAAATACTGACAATTTGGAGAAACATTGTGTGACAGATTGTGGCGCAAATCAGTTTACCATCTTTTTCGATTCCAGCAACGGTCACTGTATCCGCCGCGGAAGGTAAAGCCTTCATTTGCACAACACCACTTCCAAACCCCCCACTTTCTTCATTCATAAGATAGATGGATGGATCCAAATGAAGACCCTGCTTCCACACCAAGCTATTGTCAATAAAAGATGTCAAGTTCCTTCAAAGATTCAATCAAAGCTTCTGAGTATGCGAGTTCTCCCATTCTCTGTGAATCAAACCACATAAAAAGCTCAACAATTCAAATGTCAAGCAAGAGAATTTGGAATTTAAATCAGAGGATCTACAACCACACCAGCTAAGAAATCTAACCAAAGGGTGAAAGGGTATCATGATATTAGGATATTGTATTAATCCTATGAGTCATACATTCTAACGCGCTGCACAAGTTCAAAATTTCAACCTCGATAATGACTGGCTTCCCATCTTTCATTGCCTTCTTCAGATCACCATCGAGTCCTAGCAACCCAAACATCTCAAGATTATGGTCTCAATAGCTCCAAACATTTCTAAGACAACATAATTGACATCTAAACTTTGTCAAGAGAAACGTGCGGGTTAGATACATACAAACATTTTATTTACTTACATAATAACCATTTGATAGACATAAGAAGAACGACTAGAGACGAAATAAATAAAGGAGAATCTAGCATGGATAGCAAACCTTTGCGAACGATACGACATTCACGACAAAACTCTCTAATAAGCTCCTCTGAAGATGCGAAATCTCGAGCCCAGAGAGGAGTTGATGAAAGTGGAGCGATGTTCAAGGAACTTCTCAAGACACAAGTTAAAAAATCAGAAGCATACAAAATCAAGAACCTTCGTAAATATGGAAATAAAACGAGCTAAAGAACCAAAGTTGAATGGTTTGCAACAAGAATGTAAGGGACGTGTTCGATTACTCTGTCGATGTGCGCAGTAACTCGTAGACCATGTCTGTCTTCGAGCTCAAAAACCATTCAAAAGTGTCAGAAGAGAAAACCAACAAATTCCAAGAGTAAGAGAATGACAACGGGTTCTACTAAGTTCATGTCAAGGCTTCTAGTACGACGAATGAACCTGCAAAACGTTCGGTAAATTGAGGCGCTGGGCAAGTTGAGTGGCGAGGGTGGACTTTCCAACACACGCAGTACCACACACAATAATAATCAGTGGCGTTCGTTGGTGATGGAACCTGATGCACAAGAGATCGTCGTCGTTAAATACCGTACCATTCGTAATTAGTGCAAGAATTCGCATGCAGCCATTAAGCTCTAGAATACAGCAGTGCCTGGGCTGATCGTTTTAAACACTACACTGTCTTCACTGGAAACTGGATTCATATGAAGAAATCAGATGAATGTTTTCGTACTTGACATCCAAGTTAGAGGTGTGGTATTAACCTGGTCATCATTTTGTAGCGCTCGATGTATTCTGCGCCATAGCCACGTCGCTCCATCAGCTGTATCCAGCAACATGCTTCTTTAGAAACAACTCGGAAAGACAGCCTTGAGTCAAACAAGACAAACCTGATACAGAAACAAACAATGCGTTTCTTCAAGGGATAGATCCACAACACCTATTGTTCAAAACTTACATTCTCAATCAAGCACATGTAAGAGTGTGCTGTACCTTGAATAAATTTGCCTCCAGGTCTGACTGCGAGCTGTGTATGCCCAGAATTCGTCCACATTAGAGGACGATCTACATTTTGGGATCTACTGTAAATCCGAACCAGTGCAGTAAAACAAAAGAACTCACTTGATAGCACAAAGATACCATATAAACCGTCACATAATTAAAAAAACGCAGTGGCTGATCATGATATACGAGGGTCTTACACATCGAGCAAGCTATTGTCGATGAGCAGCTTCTTCAGCTCAAGAGAAATTTTGATGGCGGCGTGGTTTGGAATCTGAAACAGAATTAACCCTAATATTCTAAGTACTCCACAGGAAAGTAGAGATCAGAAAAATGCGATGCATCGCGTACCAAACGTCCCAAATCATAAATTATTCAGACTTCGAGACTCATAATATGAAACAGAAGGCTTATCTCAGGCAATTGTTAATCAAATTGGAAGAGATGCTAGGAAAGGTGACTCACCTTGGTAACCAGCAGCATGCGACTGATCAAAAATCGAGACAAAATGTAGTAGTGATCTGCGTTGGCCCCCAACCACACCTTCACCTGCATCCCGGATGCAACAAGCCATTCTTGCTCTCGGTAAGCTTTCAATTGACAGGAACTAGACGATTCACACTACCACAATCCAAACTTAAGATTCTCGTTCCAGAGACTTTCAGTTGCAACCATTCTGGACAAATTCTGACATGGATTTGACATGAAGTGATGATCGCAAGTTGATAATTGTCGACACACTGACGGCATTTGAGAGTCTTCGAGAGGAGCAAGGAAACGAAACCAACTTTGACGAAATCGTACTTGGAAGCCGTCCCTCGGGTGGGCTGAGATCTGCTCCCCTGAGACACAGCGGAGGGAATCTCGGCACTTCCAACTGCTGCAGTCAATTCTTCGATCTTCTCCATCATCGCCACACCATAAGAACCAGACGCCATGACCCTCTTCACACCCAAAGATCTCAAAGTTCTCAACTAGGACTCTCTACCGGAACGCCGGAACTCGACAAGAATCGTTCTCGAATTCACCCTTCCAAGATATTCCAAAAAAATCGAAGACAGAAACAATGGCAACGCTGCGCACAAAGTTAAACAAGTGCCAATACATCCGCACAAAACTACTCAACAGACCCCACCTTCGGTGAGCCTCTCGATGAGATAATGCAGGACGGACGCAGGGCAATATTCACTGATCTACGAAGTATGGGATGCAATTCCTGTGCTACAATTCCTGTCGCAATCCTGGACGATGAACTCGTCAGTGATGACAGCAAAGCCACTGTATCCAACTTCAAAATATCAGCAAACCCATCAAGGTTCGCAACGACGAATCTTCAAACAGCGCTGGAAATGGATCCTCTTTCTCACAAACTGCAGCAACCAAGTGTAACATGCAGAAACCGGTTGCCCTGACCAGGTTTAGGGTTTAGGGTTATTTTTGGCCCTTCTTAAAAACACCCCAACATGTAAACTAAGAGTCAATACAAATTTAAGTTTCATTATCTAAGACACAAGAGTATGTATGTATGTATGTATACCATAATCAAAGATTTTAAAAAATACATATAAATGCCTACACACATTGCAATAAAAACTAAAAAGCCACAAAATTGGGTTATTGATAGAAGACCAAGGAACAAAGCATCTGAAGATGAATGATTAAACTTGTCAATCTCATAATACAGCAATGAAAACCTATGATTAAACTTGACAATCTCTCCAAAACCCTAATTCTGCTTGTTTTCTGGCACTTGTTTTTGCATCGTAGCCATGCCATGATCGGGGCAACCCTTCTTCAAAATAACCATATGACTTAATCATGTCATATGATTATTGTGTTAAATAATCTCAATCTTTTAATTTAAAAATAATTATTATTATTATTATGCACTAATGTGCTATAATGTATGTATAAGAGTTGCATTAACAATACCACACTCATGTAATTTTAAATGTTCCAAAGTTATATATTTAATATTAATTGTCTCATGTAAGAATAAATTCATAACTTGATTTATAAATAGCACAATTTCCTTGCAATGATTTCAAATGTCTATATTATGTCAATTTGATACACTTTGATCTTATAATAGCAAAATCAATACAACACTATTACTAATGAAGACTTATACAGGGTCTCTTTATTGTTATCATATTTATTTAAAAATATATCATAATAACCAATATTATTTCATTTTTTAAAAAGATTCAAACATATCTACTTTTTATAAAAGTAAATTGATATTTGTCTTCATTGTATAAATTCCAACTATTAAATGGTGACCATTAATTTTAATCAATTTCTTGATTGATTAAATTGCAAGTAATATTTCATTTATGATTGCAAAAATAAAAAAATTAGAATATTTCAAAAAAATCAATCAATCACATATCACATTTTTAGAGTATCTGCAATGATAGTGCAATGTTATAGTCTATCTATAAGAAAGATTTTTAATTAAATTTTTAGTAGAAAATATTCATTTGCTAATCAAGTGATAGTGGATTATATTATCTTCAATTCCTTTGATTGGAATTAGATTGATATCTATTGAAGCTTTGGCAAAAATGCTATTTTTTTTAAAAAAATGTACTAATGCAAAGCATGAAGAAAAATGCAAATTAAAATCTTATAGCCACAATGGTGTTGTAACTTTGACTTCAATCAAGTTGTTGCAATCAATGTTAGAATAATTGACTATAGTATTGAAATCAAGATTGGAACAATTGACTATGGTGCTTTAATTGGAATTGTATAGTCAATTGTGATATTGCAAATAGAGTTGGCATATGCAATATGTTTTAATTTGATTAACTCTTATTTTTCTTTTTATATCAATGATAGCTAGACCTTACTTTGTTGGGTTTGATTTGTATGTCAATAATTTAAGTATTTAATCCAAGTCATGTGTTGGTTTATGCTATAATTTTTGGTCTTATTGCTATTCTAGTGTAGTAGCTTGTTGTAAGTCTTACCAATATATTTTAATTGGTGGATTTGCTAAAAATATTTTTTAAAATTTATTTAGATTAAAAAAATTAAGAATAAAAATCTATTTAATCATTTAAATATTTATTAGAATGTACAAGGTCTTATAAGTTATAAGAGTCTTTTTAGGAAAAAAAATATAAAATAGAAACTTAGTTAGTCTTTAAGGTAATTATCTTGGTTTTTTTAAATATATATTTCAATTGTGATAATCAATATTTATTTATTAAAAATAATTTCTAATTTTTTCTTCTATTTATATATATTATTTACTAAAAAATTATAAATATAAATTAGTAGATAAAAATAAAGATATGAAGAAGAGTCTCATTATTTTTTTAATAATTTATGTAGTTAAATAGAATTTTTAGTTAATTTAAATTGATTTTATTTTTATAAAAAAATCACCAAGTTAGAATAATCAGTCTTAAATTGATATTAATATCTCCAAAATATTATAGGATTTTTTGGAATTTATGAAGAATTTCTATAGGAACATTTAGAATATATTTTGAAAATTTTGGTAAAAATAATTTTACCACTTTGGGAGGCCATTACAAAGAGTTGGAGCAAGATTTGAAGGCCTTGTATGATTCATATATTCATTGGATAATTTTAAAGATTGTAGTATAGTTAAAATTTTAGAAAACATGTTTTGCTTGTATTAATCATAGTGACTAGCAACTAGAGTAGTACTTTTGGGAAAGACAGTATATAGGTCTTACATGGATTGTAGTACCTTGGATGTAGATAGGAAGATAAGACTAAAGTCTTGTGGTCCCTATAGTACACCTTACACAACACTTTGTTTGCCTTAGTGAGACTCAATTCTTTAACTTCTTAAGTAAGTTATTTTTGACCGAAAATCTATTATCTTAACTTTAAAAAAAAATATTTCACATTTTTAAACCTTTATAACTTATTCATTATAATTAAATTCATATGTTTTTACTTCATTGGAAAGATAAAAGAATAATTTACATAAATATAAAATTCTAAAATCTAAAATTCTAAAACCAAGTAAATAAAGAATAAAATTTTATTAGAGTGTGTATTTTTTGACTTTCTTTCTTTCATTTGTTTTTTCCTTCTTCTTTCCTTTTTTTTTGAGGATTGTACTTATTAATTTACACTAAAAATTATAAATAATTTTTAATTAAAGAAATTTACAATATAGATTAAAAAGTTACTTTTATCTTTATACTTATAAGTTCAATGGACTAAATATAAATCAATTCTTTTTTACAAAAACCATGTTCACAATTGCTTCCAAAACATATCTCTATTTAAAAAAATGTTGTCTATATTTAAATATTACCCTTATTTATAAATATTTATAGTAGATAAGCCATTAATGCATCTCATTATAAAACAAATTTAGAAGATGTAGTTGATAGCATTACAATTTACAGTCTTTAGTTGATTCCACAATCTTTTCTTGTATCTCCTTCTCCTATCTCTAATGCTTCACAAATAACTTTAAAAAAAAATACCAAAAAAAAAAAAAAAAAAAAAAAAAAAACTTATAGAATCTCAGGCCTCTAAATTTTCTTCTCTTATTTCTCTTCTAAATTCAATTCCTACTAGTATACCTTTATCTCATAAGAAAAATAAGAAAAATAAATTATAAAACTTTAAATTTTAATACATGAGAATAATAATAATTTGTGGAAAAATTACTCAACTTATAAGAAAGTTTGCAAGAAACTCAAAATAGATTAATCATGAAAAAATAATAGATCTTTATAACAACAACTAGCTATGCAATGAAAACAAATTTGTAAAAAGAGTACAATATTTATCACTAAAATATGAGTAGAAAGACCTCAAGCATGAATAGTACACACACACACACACACATACATACATACATACATACATACATACATATATATTAAGAATAAATTTATTTATATTACATTATAATTTTATACTGAATAATTATTATCATAGAATTATTTAATTTTATTAAATAAATAATGTATTTTTTTATTTTCTTTCATTTTATTTTTTGTTTAAATTTTAATAATAAGTGTATTAATTTTAAATATATTTTAAAAATAAAAAATGAGTATATAATAATTTTTCAATGTTATCATATCCTATAATAATAGATAATAATTTACATGTAGATTTGTATTTTGCAATGGTAATCCTTGTTATGTTAAATGGGTCTGTAAGCATGCACAATGCACATACCATCCACAATGCTAACTACTCATAGAAATCTACCAATCATATTAAAATTTGTTGCAATTGAACACTACTGCATTGTCACAGACCATTATATTAGTTGTTTTTTGAATAATAAAATTACAACCATAATGCAATTTTTAAACATGATTATTGTCATAGTACAAATTCCAAATAACTCTGTAATATATTATTGTGAATAACTATTGTTATATTGTCCAAATTTAAACAATGCTACAACTAATTAAAATTTAACTACAAATTATTTCTTAATGATATGTTTTTTCTAAAAATAAGATAGTTTTTAATACTTTCCGAAATCCTATAAAAAAAGATTCTAGAAACGTTTGCAGGCATTCAAAACATCTCTTTCTAGACCAAGAATTTGATATTAATTATGAAAAAATAATTTGGCCAAATGAGACTTTGGTTCACCATACTTGTTTTGCACTGTTCATGGGTATAAAAAACTATTATCTTTGAGCAAATTTTCATCATCCTTGATCTCTATATTATACAAAAAAAAAAAAAAAAAAAACATCAATGACTTCAAATATAATATTATTGGTGGCATCATGCAAAAAATCGTATTGTTTTCTAAAGTTGTGCCAAAGAGGTTGATGTTGTCTTCTATTTGTTCTAAATTATCAACTTTAAATGCATTTTTGCAATATTGAAATATGTGCAACATGTTTGTGATAATGTTTTTAAATCCTAGAAGAGATAATGTTCACATTCATATTTAGATAACATGTGTTTAAAAATTTAGAGTAATGAGAGCCATGAAGTGACAATCATGAACTTACTTCTTTGATGCAAGCTAAGGTATTAAACTCTTTATTTAAATTTACACTGTTTTTGTAGTATTACAACTTGACCACTGCCTTTTTGTAGTATTCCCTATTACATAATAATCAAAGAATACAGGTGAATAATTTATACCTCAAAAGGTTGTTAATCTCAAAGAACTTGGATTGACACAACAGAACACTTGACACTACCTCAACATGAGATTGTAGAATATTCATTATGTCAAACAGACTTAATTGCTTTGCTTCTTCCACAATTTGTATTTTTGCAAGGACCAAACTATTAATAAATATAGAATTTGATTTCGTAATTGTAAATAATGACATAGCCAGAATCATCCCACAAAATATTAAAATTGTGACTAGAGGCGAGACAAGGTGACATGATTTGACTATAGGCGGCCTCACCCTAAACCCTAAACCTGCTACCTAAGACGAGGCAAGTGGATTCCCAAAGGCACCACTGAGATGAACAAGATCAAGAGCGGAAGTGGGGCCCAAAAACCATTTCTTTCCATTTTAAATTAAGAAGTATGATGTGGGGTCCATGTGCTTTCCACCAATACATGGTACCAACTCATATTTTCTAAGCTTGATGCTCTTAATATAGGGAAACTCTAGGGTGGTCCACGAGTGGTTTCGCCATGCATTTGGAATGGCGTTAAAAGAGGAACACTGTTGTGGCCCACTGCAGCACTTCCACTTCCCAACCAAAATATTGGCACAGTTTCATCAAACTGCTCCACGTTGACAGATGCGTACACTGCTGCTCCTTTTGACACAGCTGAGTCTCATCTACTTAGGCAGGTGGGTCTGTGCACAGTTAGAAGAGCAGAATTTCATCGTGACGTCCAATTGTTTCATTGTGGATCTAGCCCCAAGAATTTCCAATTTACGTGGTGCAGATCCATGCAGGAAAACCTGGTTGATGGGGCGAGATAATCTTCGTTTTGCATAGACGTTTCTTATTTCACTGGTACACAAGTGGAAAGAAACTCCAGTTGTCTTCAGTTGCCAACTAGAAATAGTTCCGTCCGACTACTCACGGTTTCTGCTACATACGCCATTTGATACTACACAGAAACAAGTGCTGGTTCGACAGAAGAATCCAGCATTTCAAGACATCAAAGATTATTTCCAGACGATAAGTGATAGATAAGATCTCGGACCAAGGGGATATTGCGCAATAATAGCTGGTTAAAATCATTTTGTAATGCAAAAGGGTGCCAAACGTAGCACCACCCCACAACTATTTGTAGGATGCATACATCGGTCCACACAATAAAACTACAAGATCTGAAAGTAGTCACAAGAATGAATGTTCATTTCGTGGCTTCTGTGCACGATTGCCCTCTGCTTAAGTTTGGGAAGAGGTTGCATGCTGACTGTGTAATAACCTCACAAACATTGCAAAGCCAATTATGTTGATGGAGCTGGAACGGATGGAGATTTGAATCTTGGGAACCAACTAAACAGCCCGTGGGCTTCCTTAATCTTGGCATGTTCTTGTCTTGCTAATACAACTGTGGGAGCATCAACATACATTGCCATGTTCTCGAATGCTAGAGCTACAATAGGCTTCCCACTCAGCACCGACATCACGTCAGTGCCAAGGTCTTGTGTTTCTGTGCTTCTTGGCTCCTCTTCCGCAGTCAACTGCAGAGGAGAAATTCGTGCTGGAGATACGGGTCTTATTCTGATTATACATCAAACCAAGACATGAATTTTAGCGAATTCCTTACTGAATAATCACATCCACTTCAAGCTGACCCGCTTAGACAACACTACTAAGTTTCTAAATTGGAACAGTTACTCCCATGTTCAGTTAAGGCACACAAAAGGAAATGATTTCAAATCACATATTATGCTCAAGATAGAATATAGAGAACACTTACCTGCAATTTAGTCTGCACGAGTACTTGAGAAGATCTGGCTGTTTCTTTGTCTTTCCACTGCATTGCCATATGAAAAAGGTTGGAGCAACATGTGACAAGAAGTCCCGAGTAGATTTGGCTATTCGCTCAACTGGAAACTAACGAGAAAAAAAAACGAGGGAAGTCGTAACATAGAGAACAATGGAACAAAGTGCAAAGAAGTGAAGGCTGAATCTTATTTCAATTATCAAAGAATCTATTATTTAAGAGGTATGATTTATCTGCCATGAAGACTGTACGAAAACTTAATGCAAAACCAAATATGTAGTGCGTATAGATAGAACGCGCCTGAAACTGGGAAGAGACATCTTCATTAAGGGACCTACCCATCCCTTGTCCTGTATGCCTAAAACTGCTGCTAGGTAATTGCCAAAACAAGGCTCAGTACATCAAAGTAGTTCATCCTTCTTTTCTTGGTTTTATTGTGGTAATCCTCAAAAGGTCTAATGCACTGATCACTGTTTAAGATACACAACCTTAGGGAGAAAAGCAATAGCATGCGTAACAAATTCAAAAATGTCCATTTTGGGTATTTTAACACTCACAATTATTGAGGAGTTCAATATTGCAGAGCGGCCTCCGAAAGCTTCCATCTGTTTCAACAATATCCACTGCATGGTAACAATCGCTTGACCTTTCTTCACCTTTATTACGTCCACCAATTTTGGGTAGTATGTTCCACCACAATCGCTGAGATTCTCGTTTCTCATTGGAAACTCTCTGCATTGATGGCACTGCAATAATTAGAGCGTGTAGCAGTGCTGTGCATGAGGACGTAGAAACATGAAAACAATAATAAAACTTCAAAGGAACGGCATCAAACTGACAACTTACCGATGAATTAAACAAAGCTGTTCGACTGGGGAGGCCAACTTCCTGTCACCAGAAGTCGAAGGGCCATCGGACTCCATCAGAAATTCAGGGAAAGGAAGTTCATCATCCAAGAAAAAACAAAAAGAAAATATACACAGTGTTTCGAAACCTTGATGGCACATTCTGGAGCAGAGAAGTGCTAAGAAAACTTGAATACCTGCTGCACAGAGTATTCTAAGTCTGATTAAAAATTAAAAACATATTTAAAATACCATGGAGAAGCAGCACATAGAATGCACTCACCTCAATTCCGTGGTCACAAGCCTCTTTGCTGTTCACTATAACTCTTGCTGCCCATCTAGAGGAAGGAATGGTATTTTAGCATCAGTAATCTTCATTATTGTGATAATATTTTCTCTGAAATCTAGTATAAGCTCATGTGGAGTACCCACTGCTTAAGTTTGTTGAAACCAACCTAGACTTCGAAGCGATAGTTTCGTCCCTCTATCCTGTGACTAGCAATACAATTTCAATACGTCAACTTGCCCCTATGTTATTGCAAGCTCAGACCATCAAGACCAGTATTTCAAGGTTCATATCAAGCAGATGTTGATTCCACTACAAGCTACTTGGCATAAATGTTACTCACGCGCAAGATGTAGGAGGATTCCAGACGATGCCTGCTAGAACCACCAGCTACACAGAAAAAGTTAAACGTGAAAAAGAGTCCAAAACTTGCAAGAACAGAATGTCAAGTACTTGAGTTTAGTTGATCTACTTAATTTTAGCAAGCTAATGGGATAAGCAAGGAGCAGCAGTGCAAAGTGAAAACACAACCGATACCACTTGTTTGAGAGTATATTTCAATCATGAAGTGAAACTTTGGAATCAACCCCTATCACTGCAGTTACCTTCTATGTTATTAAGATACCCTGTTTACAACTCCTACCTCATCAAAGACACCAGCAGGGCTCGTATCATACTTTGCCAAGTAAAAGCCACCCAAAGTGTACCTGCAAACCTCTTCCCCATATATATTGCAGCCCTCAGCGAGTACTCCAACATGGTAGCCTATCCCAACTGCAGTAATACATCGTATGATCAAGAGGCTTTGCAAGGCTTCAAAGGAAATTTAAAATTGAAGAAACCTGTATGTCACTGAACTATAATAGATTCATGTTGAAAATTTTAATTTTAAAATGATATAAAATAAAATATAAAGTAGCAGCGTAACCAAGTATTTCAAAAGAAATGCACCCGAAAGCTTGAACGACTTTAAGTTCTGATGGAATGATGCGTCGTGCAACTTCAGCTTTGACTAGATGTAGTTGATAGAGAGCCCTGCATCGCAATGAGTTCATCGGTCATTCGCATCCAAACTCTGTGTTATTGCTTAACCCACGAAAAGAATTTAATGTAGAAGAAATTTGGTAGGCGTATGGATCTTATGAGTCACTTCAACAAAAGCCATGACCTTTCCAATTATTTCATTTGAATGCAAGGCTAGTGAACAAAGGATGTGATACAACTTTCTCCAAAGCCCGAGGAATAACGCGTAAAAGTGCAAAGAAAGTTAGCTAATAACAATTGGTTGCGCATTGCCCCAGCTACGTGATCGATGCATTCAGTTTCAGTTCGTTCTGGGATTAACATCAGGGCCAAGTTTTAATCCTGTGCGCAACATGAACTTGAGGAAATGCAAATACCTGCCAGTAAATATCCATGGTGGTCCATCAGCGTATTTGCGAGGTTGGAGCTCTGCACTACTGCTCGACGACATACTTCACCTGTACAAAAGAGAAGGAAAAGAAGATGATATTAAAACTAGTACAATCCAAAACGCTCATCAACCTAAAGATGTTGATCAGGAAGACACCTATCAAAATTGGCCACAAAATAATTCAAATTGACTAGTCATAACTCTGCCGGAAAATCTTGAAGGATTCTTCTTAATCCCTCATGAAGATTCTCGTTCAGGAAAAACTTTCTTCGCATAATCAAAATCCTGAACAATATTGTACACAATCATCCTAGCACACGTCATGGAAACCAAATACAAGTCCGATAGTCGATTGCGCCCACCTCAGACCCTCAAAGCAGGTTCAAACAGACACTGCAACTGAAACCGAGAGACTTCTTCAATCCTCACATGCACACACAAAAAAATGCTGCAAAGGCGCGACCATTAAAGCAACTCTTCGCAGCAAAAACTATTACCAATCGCAACATGCCCCCCAACAAAAACACAAGACCCAATCAAGAGAATGCAAGGCATTACACGAAAAGGTCCTTCCGTGCATCAGAGTTCCAACCCAAAACATCGAGTGGGGTGTTCGAATTCGTGGCCACGCGATCGCGAGGATGACGTGCGGAGAAGACTCATGAGCACTACTGCAAGTAAAGTGAGGCTCCAGTGAAGCGTGACTCTAAGAGGTGACGCCCTTGTGGAGAGCAGATCACAACGGATGAATCCTATCGTGCATCCACTCGGCTTGTTTCTCATCCACACAGGGGGGAAAACAATATGGATGGGCGAATGAATTAGGGACGTTGCTCGCTGCGTCCGTCCATTCCTGCGTTGGTCCGCAATAGACATCGGTGGCTGTGGAGGCTGGAACGGCGCTGCCATTGGTGGGTTGTGGATATGGTCATCGGCTCCAGTATTGATTGCTATTACCGAGGTTTGGAATAAGTCACTGTAGGGGAATTCCAGTGCGGGCTTAGGCATCCGAACTATGTCACAAAATCACGGTATTCGTGATAAGTTTTTTTCCCATGCAGTTTCCCTTCAAGGATAAGCAACTTCCTGACCGAACACCAGATGTTCAAACACTTCGAAGTTGTAGTAGTTTTGAAGGTACACTGACCCCAATCTGTTTATTTACTTTGTTTAATGCAAGAAAAGGAAAAAAAGATTGTTTTGTAGGAGGTAATGAGCTATCCTCTTGTTAAGACGAGTGTAAAATCCAAAGAGAGAAATAAGCTTTCCCATCATGGAAGAAGCTACATTCACTTTTAGTGAAGTTTTTGTAGAATTAGACTTGAAATTGCAAAAACTGCATTTAAATGGATTTTAAATGCACAAAGAGTTTTAATGGTAGTTTTTTTAAAAAAATAAAAAGAAGATTTTACTTGGAGACTGTTACTTAGAAGAACATTTTTTGTAAACACACAATTATATAAATTTAACTAGTATAATTATCTACGAGACACTGATATTGCATTATATAGGAAATGAATTTTGTGGTGAAATGAAAATAATAAAATATTACATAAATTTTATTATTTTGTGGTTATTTTTAATATCACTATTAAAATTATAAATATATATATATATATATATATATATATCTACATATAGGAAGTTTTTAAAGCCTCATCCCACATTACCATCTTATGATTAATTCCATCCATTTTTGTCTTTGTCTCTTGTTCCATGCCCCTTGTCTCCCATCTCCCATCCTCGATTTCCAACCTTTGAACCTTGTTCTCTATACTATACCTATTGCTTGTTTTCTATCCCTAAAATTAATCATCACAGAATTTGAGGGGTGTGGCTTTAGTAATATTAAGATGTAGCTTTAACAACTCCTTATATATATATAAATATGTGTGTGTGTGTGTGTGTGTGTATGTATATATATATATATATATATATATATATATCTAATATTAAAGTTATTGCACAAAAATAAAATAAAATAATTAAACATAATTTCATTGAATTTTATTCTAACAAAATAAAATAAAATAAAATTATAAAGTAAATCATATAAATAAAAATATCAATATTGATTTGTTTTTTTTACTTTAATTAATTAAAAAATAAAATTATAAAACTTTATTTTTTTAAATCATGTATTAAGTTTTTAGTTTTAAATATTATGCTAAATAAGAATATCACTATAATTTTGCTCTCTACTTCATTTTTAGTATTTTTTTACTATAATATTATGTTGGTATATCAAAAAAATATTATTTAAGCCTATTGATTTAAAGAATAAATCACTTAATATTTAATTCATTAATAATTAATAGGATTTATATATATATATATTACATTAATGCTATTTTATTTTAGAAAAAATTCTTGTGATTTTTTTTGATATTGTATGCTATTATAAATAGGTATTTTATCTCTTTAGATATAAAAGTTAATATTAACTATTGATTTTTGTTTATATGCTTTTTATTTTTTAAAAATATATCATTGGAAGAGTGTATAAATATGTGGTGTATATATATGGTCTTATACATGAAATTGAATCCTAATTAATGAGATTTTTGTAGAAAACTCTAAATTTTCTATTTAGATATTTTATTATTAATAAAAATATATTATTAAATATTTTTATAATAGGTATAGTTTTTTATTTTAATTGTATATTAACTGAATTTTGTTTTAAATTGGTACAATTAGAAATTAAAACTTAATATAAAAATTTGATGAAATTTCAATTTTTATCTAAAATTATTCAAAGAAAAAATAGAAATAGACATGTAAGGAGGATAAAGAAAACATTTAATGCAAAAAAGAGATTAAAAGAACTATTAGGATTTTACGATTTAATGTATAGATAAATTTATAAAATTTATAAATAAATTTATAAAATAAATTTATAAAATTTATAAATAAATTTATAAAATAAATTTATAAAATTTATAAATAAATTTATAAAATTTATAAATAAATTTATAAAATTTATAAATAAATTTATAAAATAAATTTATAAAAATTTAAAAATTATAATTAAAATATATTTATTACTAAAAAATTAAATACTTAATATATTTATATATAATATGAATTTTATATATAAAAGATATTCTTTCTTTTTATTTTTTTGTTTTTTTTAAATATATTTTTTCTTTCTTTCTTATTATATAGAAATATATAAAGATTTTAATTTCTTAAAATCTTTTTTGATAGTTGATACTACTTAAATCAATTAATTAAAAGAAATGTTTTCTCTAGCTCTACAAAAATCTTATTATAAGTCTGTCAAGAATATGAAGTTCAAAAAAAGAAATCCCCAATACACTCTTATATCACTCAAAAGAACTAGAAAGTCATTCAATGATAATATAGTATTAAATTAAAATGGCTATTGCAAAAGCTAAAAAGATAAGAAAGTCTTGAAACAAGACTAAAGACTAAAAAGGCATTGATAAGAATGAAGAAGGCTTTACTCTTGTCTCTATATATACTCTTAATTAAGAGCTATATGGCAATATCCTATAAGACCTCCAAAACGTGTTGACTTTGCATTACATATATTTTAACTTGCAAGACAAGCTTTTTTATATATACACTACATAATTAGCTTATTCTACAAGCTATCAATATGTAATTAACTTATTGACAAAGTTTCTATCCCACTAATCAATTACAAACACATGTAAAGTCAAAATAGCATTTATGAAGCTTTTAAGAAGCTTCTCTAGAAAATGTTATGAAATAAATATATTTTTACATACTTTTATATAATCATATAGGTAAATATTAAAGTAAATATGTATGTCTATTACATAATTTCTCCTTTTAAGGACGACTTGTACAAAAAGAGGTCATTATATATTGAAAAAATTCAAGATGTGGCAAATTTTATTTGCCGCATACTCTAAACTTTGTTTTCTTTAAAGATAGTTAATAGATCTTTTCAGCCATTGATAATGTTCTATACTAGGGCAAGAAGACCACCCCATTATTTGATTATTGTTGAGGCCTTTATAACTTCTTTCACGTAAAATATTCAAAACACTATTAAGAGTCATTCCAACTTCCAATAAAATTACCAAATATCAAGAGTCTCTTCCAAAGTCATGATATGAAACATGTTATATTTCACCATCTATTCAAAGAAGATCATGTTGTTCTTTAGGATCTTTATCTTGATTACTCCGTCTTAAAAGTTGTGACAATTGCAATATTTTATCTAATAAGAGAACAAGTAATAGCTCTTAAGTTGAATTTACTAGTTGTTGGTTCTCCATCTTTTTAGCATCACAAATGCACAAAAATACTAAATAAGAGTAGAGTATAGAATGCTATCTTTCTTAGATCTTATGTCTTTTATAGCAAAGATTTACTTTTCTTTATCTTGGTTTTGATAAATGTCATTGACAAAAAACCTCAACCTTCTTTGTTGCATTTGCAAGATTCTTTGTTGGCTCCCATGTGAATTCATTGATATCATATCTGTGCCAATGAAGAGATATTTTAACCTATTTTGGCACTGCCTTGAATCTAAGACTTTTTACATTTCAAACTCTCGATTATTATCCACTTTTATAGGAAGAGGTGGCATTTCTTTTCTTTTCAAGATATTTATTATTTTCTATGGTTCAAGAAAAGATATATGGAATATAAGATGGATCTTCATAGATTCTAATAGAAATAATCAATAAGCAAGAAAATTGACTTGTTCACTAATAGAAAAAGGTTCAAACTTACAATAGTCCAACTTGTCATAAGGACGAGTAGCCTTGATATTGCAATGAAATAGCCATACTTTATCACCCACATTGAATTATAGTTGTTCTTTGCGATAAGCATCCGTATTAATCTTTTGGTATTCTTGAACTTCTTTTCATTGTACATTTATTTTTGTATGTGATTCTGATAAAAAATTTGCCAAATCTTCTACCACATGATTATCAATTTTTGAAAAATCAAAGATATGAAGTCATAGATGATTATCATAATTAGCAAAAAAAGATATTTTTTAAGTAGAAAAATATACTAAATTATTGTATGCAAACTTTGCCAATGGCAAAAGAGTTTTCCAATTATTTTGATGACAATTAATAGTACATCCCAAATATTACTCTAAAACTTGATTCATCTATTCTGTTGATCCATCAGTTTGAGGATGAAAAGCAAAAGAGAGTTTTATATCCACCTTTAATATCTTGGAAATGGTTCTCTAAAATCTCGATATAAATTGAATCTTCCTATCTTATATAATATACTTGGATAATCTAAGATAGCAATAGGTGTTGTCCAAAAAAAGCTTAGCTATTTTTTTACTCGTAATATATTTTATATATAGTATAAAATATGTTATTTTATTAAAACAATCTACTATTACAAATATAAAATCATATGAACATGAGATTGAAAGATTAATGATAAAATCTATAGAAATAGAAGATAATACTTATTCTGGAATAGGTAATGGCTGAAGAAGTCCATAAGATCAATGACAATGAGTTTTGGATCTTGAACAAATATTGCATGATTGTAGAAAGTCTTTGAGTGTCTTCAATATTTAAAGCCACTAAAAAA